AGAAATTGTAGATAAACATTGGGTGAAAATATTCATCAAAAAGTCGGTTATCTGAAAGTTTTTCAGAAAATTTGGCGTATAAACTGAAATAATATATCGATCGGAGTTCCGGCGAGCGTATAGGGGTAGTCCCGATGTTAGAGTATACATGATATGCAAATTGAGTTGTAAGAACACATTTTGGCATTCAGCTTTAACATTATCCTACATAAGTGTATGAGACTTTAGGGAATAACTTTAGACTTGCGGCTGACGTATACCTAGCAGCTTTCACTCCACTATAGGGAAAAATAATACTTCAAGGCGTCTCATTTAGCTCGTAATTTTAGAGCGGAATCGTTACTGACTTTCTTCTTCTTCTTTTTTTTTAATAAACGAACGAAAAGTTATCCCACTAGGCTCAAATTAGGGCCGAGCAAACACTCTCTCCTACTTTACTTTTCGCCGGCGTTTCCCTCGCTCGCCGCCCGTTCTTCGGCGAAGAAAACGGCTCATTATTTAAGTTGAAGGAAGTTAATTAAAATTGACAAAGGCTCGGTGTAGATAAGGCGGCAATGTCAAGAAAGTTTGTGTGAAGTGACAAATACAACGACAAAAACAAAGAAGTCGAGGAAATGGTGGAAATGTGGAAAATCCATCGACGCTGCGAGCGGAGATCGTCGGCCCGTTTATTCGTTTAATTTTTTTTTGTGCTTCGCTTGTCGCTTAATATATCCGACATGATCATTTCGCTTATTGAGAGATATCGATTGCGAATTAAATGTGCATTATATTTACGAGAAATTTAATAGTCTTTAAACACAACTGTTTTGTTTTTGTGTATATGCACTTCACTACTGTACAATTTGAGCTCTATAAATAATCCAGATTCAGAAGTCCCAGAAATTTCTCTATGTACTCTTTTAAGGGTCAATTGTACACTAAATTTTTTAGTCGCAATGTTAAATATATTTCAAATGATAAAGGAATTTGATGATTAAATATAATGAGCTCCTGAATACTAAATAATAGTAAATTATAGGTGACGTGCATTGATATTTGTTTTGCACCGACTGTAGGAATGTATGCGAATGCTATTTTGCGACCATTTACCGAATTACCATCGAGAGGACATAGCAGGAGAAATTTTGTTATTTATTTTTGAATGATTTATGTGTTATTTACGTTGGCGAGATTGAAGCTGAGCGGTTGAATTTGCATACCAATGTACTTAAACAAGAACCGAAAAGTTACATTTTTGATGTATTAACTGCCCTTTAAAACCCTATCCCTCGCTTCGGCTATACAAAAATAATTCGATGTGAAGGAAGGAAAATTTTTTACATAGATATTAGTAAATATTTGCACGAACTGTAAATTTGTAGTTATTAAAAATATTTTTCCATTAAAAATTCCGCTTCGTTTGAATACAAAAATGTCAATAAATACCTATCATAGTGTTCAATTGTAGCAATTATCGCGGAAGATCCTGCAGTACAAAACGCAAATAACTGTCGCAAAAAATACATAATCCCCATGAAATTTGAAGCGTAAAATAAAACCGAAAAAAATACCGGAATATTTCATCCCTGGGCGCTTTTTACATTTTGCATGAATTACCCGACAGACGTGTCGTATCTGCAGCAACAATATGGCACCCGTCGTGCGTGTCATAACTTAGAGAAAAAAATCCTTTTGCTCCCTTTTAAGTCCTTCATACCAATAATAACGAGAAACGTCAAGATCATGCATAAAGACCCAGCAGGGAAAGAGTATTTCCAGAAAAAGAGAGCATCTCGAAAAAGAAACGTCGCCTTGCCAGTCGAGGACGTGCTCGGAAAGCTATTCCCAGTTGACCGTTATTACATCGGCTCACGTGTAAGCAGCAAAATTGCGCCATATAAAAGCATAGGCCCCACTTTCAAAGTATCACAGCCTTCATAATTACAGTTTTCATCTCGACCTAAAAACTGCAGCCCGTCAGAAAATATTTACTAACACAGCGCGAAGAATCGATAGAATACAATCAATTAGAGACGACAAAAAACGAGAAATGTCCGAACAGTGTGAGTATCCTTTGATACTCCAAAAAGCCATTCAGACGCTCCGCAATAATTTCAACCGACGCGCTCCGTGCAGTCGATAAACTTTTGATTGAAGTATCCGACGTAAAATATCAGCTAAGCCTGCGGGAATATCTCAATGTCGAGGAGGACGCCCCAAAACCGATACAAATGCATATACAGTCGAGCAGGAGTGCGCGAAGTAGAAAACAAGCAACGACGTCTACTGAAAATTGAATAACTTTATATCGAATTTTTACGACACTCGCTCATCGATTTTTCCCATGATTTACTCGCGATGAAAACGACAATGCTATAGCTACAGAATACCGCAAAATACTAAATAGTACCGTGCTATATTAACGGCGGAATTCCCGCAAAGATGGGTCGAAATATAACGATGCAGTCTAGCGGAAAAAAACCGGCTACATTTCATATAACGCAGCGGTTCGGGAAGGGTTGTAAATCTCGCAAAACTACCAAAACAAAATACTGGAGGGTTTACAGTCGAACACTCCAATGCATATCAAATAGATATCGAAACAACGCGGACGTTTGATGGATAAGGTTTTTATTGGGTGCTCGATATTAACGGCTCCGAACTTCTACTTCGGCGAGACGCGTAAGCCTCTTTTAATACCGATTTATGGATCGGCGAGAAATTAGATAAAATTGGTTATCGCGTCGATGGAAGGCCGAGAATTATGGCGTTGTTTATTTTCTACGGAAGTGGGTCTAAACACACTTCCTCCATAATCGACTATAACTCAAATTTTCTTTATTTTCCCTTATAAAATATCAAACTCATTTCTACCCAATACATTACTGAATCGTCCAACATAAAATTCCTTAACTGCCTCATTGATTGGTCATTCGACTATCAACCCTTCGGGTAGGTCAAGCCGAGGAGAACTTGCTACAGCAGGATCGCGCGAGAATGAAAGATTATTTAGGCAGAGAAAACCAGAGTTCGCTTTCGGCAATGATTTATCGAATCGAATTTGTCAAAGTCGGCGAGGAAAGGGAGAACAAAGTAACTAGATCAGTAACAAGATATTGGGGAAAACCGAGAAAAAGGATTTTTTCTCCCGTTCGGTCTCGCGTGCGATACATCAAGGATCCGGGTAGACGACAATTCGAATTCGAAATAATGAAGGAGAACGGCTTTTCGCTCCGAACACGAACGATATATACAGGATATGTCGTTTTCGAGACGAAGCGAAACGAATAAAAACAATATTGATATGTGCGTGGGAATGTTCGAGTAGAGGAGCGCTTTTTTATCTCTATGTATATACGCTAAAATAATCAAAAGAATTTTCTGCGCGACGGGATGCAGGTAAACAGGACTATTAAATGGTATTTGAACGTGACGAATTATCTCGTACAACTAGCTATTTAAATTAATGTGTCAGGAAATATTTATCGACGTAATTGAGATAATGCGCAATGGCCATTCTAACCGATATAATATTTGTTATTTCCACGACCGATAGGGGTTCGAAGGAATGCAAATTGCCATTTCCACAAACTCATTTTTCACCACTATCTTAAGCTTCTATTACTGTTGGTTAATACAGTAGAAAGTAAATAAATATTTTTTTTATCTACTTACCTACGCTTTTCGGTATAGAATATATGCTGGAATATTCGGAGCTCGTATGCATTGCACCACAGACGTGCCAATTTCTCGTTTTCATCCGCCAGTTAAGATACTATCTTCCTCTTTTTAATTAATCCGCGTTGATTCCCGGCCATATAATCGAAACCCTATGGGAAATTCTAATTAAATAAGTTAGCTATTTCCCTCCACTCCGACCGTCACCCGAAGAGGAAACTATTCCGGGGACAACTTAATATGTTCCTTCCTCAGCAAACGGGAATCGTTTATTTTTAATCATCGCCCGGCGTTTTTAATTTCGAACGTTAATTACCAGATATTCGCGAAACAATTTTCCGTGTAGATTTTGCGAAAATCATCCGGTTTACGGGCCCGTGATTTCTTCATTAAACGCGCGCGAATTTCTATAAACAATTCGATTTATAATTTTCCCCGTCCGCGACTTCGGAACAATTAGAGCGCCCGACGCAATTAGACCGAAAAACTGGAACCGCTCCGGGCGCGAACGCTCCGGGAAAACGGTGAAATTTCACCCGAAATCGACGTCAATTCTAAGATGGCAGTAACGCGGATAAAGCGAAAACAAAACAAATCTCGTTTCGCGAGGAAAAGCCGAAAAACCGAGCACACGTATTATGTCACAAACATGAATTGTCATGATATAGAATCCGAGGGGAAACGGACATTGATTTCCAGCGTCAGAGCTACAAGAAAATATTTCTATTTCGGAGATATAAACACAACTCGCGTAAGCCCGGTTGCATACTTATTAATAAGTAGATATTATTTATGTAAAAATTTCGAAATTTCGTGATTAAAACCGATTTGTTTGTCACCGGATCGCATGCTTGGAGGCATCGATTACTCCAGAAATTAGAGCTTTCCGACGTCGCAGCGATCGCAATAAATCCGCACGTACAACTCCAATGCAATTAACCTTTCAATTACATCGGTTAATGACCAACAGTAGCCAACTTCCTACAATTTCTCAAGAAACGCAGATAGCAATGGATGTGCCCCCGTGAAATATGGATTAGGAAATTACGCAAACGAACGATGATTTAGTTTCGGGCGAAATTTACGGGCGAATCCGAACCGGTAGGAATTTTAATTTTCCCGTACTGACCTGATTCAGCTAATTTTTCACCGGGCGGGACGAATACTCGCATAAATCATTATTATTAGAACTAATAGCACGCCACTGTGCCGACCCACCATCTGCATATTTTCACGACAGCAGTTTTCTGTCCCTCTCCCGCGACTCTCCTAATTACTATTCGATAATGAAATACTATAAAATAATTGACAAGATTCTCCTACGTTTTAATTGAATCGGTCCGGCTGGTTTCAATTAGAGAAGTTCGAGTAGAGTGAAGAAAATGGTACTTTCCTACGCTAACAAAGGAATGATTTCCAAAGCCTTCGTTCTGGTATTTTTCACGTGAGTCGATTTGTTTTATTTGTAGTTATTATTCCAATAAATTAAGTATCCCAGTAGAATTTTTTGTTTGATTAAGTGACTTTATAAATATTTTTTGTTTGTAAGTGGCTTCTTGAATCATTTAGTCAGGCAAAAATTAACTTTTTAGAGTTGTATATTTGCGGAGTATTTCGAACAAATCCGAAACAAACAGCAAACAATTATTAATTGCCTGCTTCATTTATTAAAAACTCTAGTTATTGATTTTTGCACTAAAAAAAAGTTGGATTTCCACCGAAATTTTCCCATTGCCATTCGCATCGAAACAAACTCGCATTGTGTTTGCTGCAGGCCATTCATACACGGAGCCCGGCTCGTCAAAACGGAAATCCCCGAAAGTACCACGTTGAAATTAAACGAAACAACAGAAACGACGGAGAAAACCGCCACCGAAGCGACCGCCCCGTCCACCGAAGCCTTCGTTAATTTTTCAGCGCCGGAATTATCGAGCGAGGAAGCCTACGCGTCCGAGAGGAACGCTTGCTATCAGTGCCAGTACGAGCAACAGTTCGAAAATACCGTGTTCAAAATGTTGTACAATCACTCCGAATTGAAGAACGCCGCCGTGGACGCTTGTTCCAGATGCAGGGAGGCCGACGATTTCTCCAACAACAGGAAATGTATGTACCGGCTCGAATAATTTTCTCAAAGTTTATTAAATTTTCCTAGCAGCTTTAGGTTGCGTTTGCGGGATTTACACCGTGCCATCGGCTTCGTTTAAAGACGTACCGCTCCGGACTAAGATGTACCACAATGTGACCTGCCACGAGCAAGTGCCGTTCGAAGAGGCTTGCAAGAAGATCTGCATTTTGGGCGCTCTATCGTACAACGAATTGGAGCCCATCACGTTGTGTTTCCATCTAACAGAAGCTACGAACGTGAAGGTTGGTGGGGATTCATTCCTCTAGCGCTCAAAAAATTCGTTGTTTTTTTCTATTTAGGCTTACGTGCAATCGAAATCGTGCAGAGGAGACGATGAATGGACTTTCACCGGATTGATTTCGCCGAATTCGATTTGCTGCGACCAAGGAATGCCCATTAGATGTTGATATCCCTCTTTTATGTTTAATATAAGTAAGCGTTATGATGATTTGGTATAGGAGATTATTTTTGAAATAAAGATTTATCGATACCTCATTGGTTTTTGATTCGTGCAATTTGCGATTCGGCTCGATTCGAAGTTGAAATAACAGCCCGGTATTTTTTTAAACGTCGAAAAATAAACTGAGGTTTTTTCCCTTCCGGCTGAATTAATTTCGGGCGCTTTAAAATTATTTTCGTTCGCTCTGTATAAAATAAAGCGAACACTCCTCGGAAAATTATCGACAACATTTGCGACGGGCAGCGTATTTAAACAACAAAATAAATCTTTATTGGACGTTTACATCGATTGGATTTAGTTGTAGATTGAAATTATGTTGCGAATATTTTGCATAGAAATCCGGGCCCGCCTAATTCGATCTGATAATCTCGCCGGTACAGCGATGTTAACCGTCAAATTTTTCCCCAATCAACTATTTACCTAAATTTGCATCTACAACAACTGCAAACAACAATAATGCGGTCCAATTGGGCGGCGCGAACGTTATTTGTTGACCAACATAATGTTTACCTTTGTTGTATGACCGGGAATTTATTGATTTTCGAATTTGGAAAACGCCAGTAGTCGATTCTAATTGCAAAGGTTAAAACATGTTAATAATTTCGATGGCGGTTGCATTCCCAATACAGAGTGTTCGTCAAGGGATCCACCATACTAACACGCTACTTTTTTTCTTCATTTTATTACGCTATCGCTAATATAAGCTGTAATATAACGTGTAACATTAACACTCGTATCGTTTCGTATAAATAATTGTGTTTAAAACATCACTGGATAGCGATTAACCCCGACAAGCTGGTGGTATTAATTGAATTGTTCAACACATATCAATTTCCCCCGGTTCCATTTAATCTCTCGCCTTTATTACAAACAATAAAGTAACAACTGCAACATGCGATATTCCTATACTACCGAACTCTTTAGAAATTGTAAATTTTTTTTTATAATAACGTCAACTAGCAATCGTATTAATTAACTCGAATTCGTCGCATACGTTGCTTGAGAATGCCACTGAATACCCCCGAGATGTTCTTTAACTAGTGCAAAATTCTGGACAGTCATGGAATTCCCTCGGGCATCACATATACCTTAATTGGAAATCCCTACACAATTCAATGAAGCCCGGCGAAGAATCCTATTTGACCGCGCCACTTAAATCAGAGACGCTTCGAAAAACCGGCCACGTAGCGCACTCAATTAATCAATTTTTTGAGAGTCGAATGGCTATTTTGTTGCATCATTTCGCAAGCTAAATATGCGAATTTTAGCACTAGTTAAAAAGTTAAAGAGAGCTCCCCGGAGAGGAGTAGTAGGTACCTTCGAGGGCATCGGGTAATCCTAATTCCGGCGCTGTAAGCTGTAACATCCTACCGGGGAGGTGAGTAATGGCATTAAGAGAGGCCGCAGATTGGGACACTTTTTGTCACATCGACCCAGTATCGGGTATTCCCGGCGTCGGGGCGCAGCTTCGAAGGGTCGCAGGACATTTGCGGTTTTCCCAGGTGGATACAACGGGCGAAAATTTATACATACGTGAAAGGTTTGCGTTTCCGGATCGATCGAGGCGATGATTGATTTACTTCGGACGTTTTTTCATAGTTTATTCGATTAAAATAAACGCCTTTTCGGGCGCCATTTCGACGAATCGCGTCGCGTAATTCCGAGCATAAAAGCATAAAAGTCGTTTTCGCTTTAATGATAAGGAAAATGCTGGAATCCTCTTTAGCCGGTTGCCGAGATGTCTATATCGGTTTATCTGCGGAAAACAGGGATACTCGCATTCTTTGCTGCGTGATAGATATTGTTATCGGCAATTTCCAATTAAAAGTTCGGCAACGACAATAGAATGTCAGAGGGGGAAATTCAGATGAACCCGGCCTATAGAAAACGGATTTATTGAACGGATACGATGCTTTATTAAAACCTTATTCTGATTAATAACTCTGCAAATATGCCACTCGAACTAGAATAATCCCTTTTTCCTTTGTACGAGTAAAATGGAAAAGTCGGCCGAGAGAAGCATTTTACCTTCGATGATAACGAGCCTAGACACGAAATAAAAGTAAATACTGCTGAAAAAAGAACGGTTAAAATCGTTCGCAGAAGTGTCGGAAAATGCAATCCAATTTGCTTCATCGGGGGAAAAAAGCATCATCCATTGAATTTCCTACAAGCAAATTGAGTGTTCGCAGAGTCGTGTTGACAACAGTAAGAAAGCCTCCGGAAAAATCTATAAAGCCACCAATTTCTATACACACACACTAGAGAGATATACCAGCGCATCGATTCTATTATATCTTCGAAATATAATAGTTTTGATAAATGTAGTTAATGTGCAATTCTTATACCTATACACTGTGTACCTACTCGATTTCCTAAGGGTTAGTTCTGATGGATTTACTGTCGATTTAATAATGTTAAAGGACAATTTATCTTAAAGTTTCCCTTTCTCAAAGTACGATTCTTCTTTTGTGATCGCCCTGTATGCAAGAAAAATACAGACAAACACGTAGGTGAGCAGATACTGTTCGTACGTCCGCGCCCATCCATCAAGCCACTATTTTTCAAGCGTTGTCACCGCGCCGGCCACTAGAAAAGAATAAAAGCGAAAGCCGGCGTAATGGAGGGCATTAATTCCGGAATTTTTTCCCCGCTTTTCTACCATCAGATTTTGAGCTTTTTACGGGCGCCGGCGATCAGTCTTCAGCGTCGAGTGCGCGACCACGTGTGAAGTCCGCCCGTCCGAAACACTCGGCATGGGCGCCGGTAATAAAAGAAACCGCCGCGATTTTTACGGTGCCCTTTATGGAACTAATTAACCGCGAGTTTCTTGCGCATTTGCCGGCTAAAGAACCAACTCTCGAGGGCGTAAATCTCGGCTGTTTTGGTGCCTATAGTAGAGAGCGAGTCGGAGCAATTTTTTGTTAATAATTAATGTAATCACTTAGGGAAAATTGGAATGGCGTTATAATTCCTTTTCGAGGGTTCTTCGGGGCTGGCAAAGGATCGGAAAAACGTTGTAGACTGCCAAACGATTTAACCCGAACGGAATGAAAGTCCGAAGTAACATCGAAATTCGACCTATTTGATCCCGGCGAAATTAATTCCTATCGAATTTCGTTTTTTGCTTGTTCTTTTTTTCCCCGTAAGCATTTGATATTCCTTTAATACATCAAGCATATTACGATCGAGGGGGCAGCTAAGCAGGTTTTTGAGAAAATGCTCGAGATTTGATTTAAGGCGGAATTTCCGATTTGCCCCGGAGCAATCATTAAACTCGTTTATTTATTTTTTTGCAAAATCTGGTTAAATTTGAGAAGTGTATTTTAAGCAGGATAATGCGCCTCTGGATTAGTGGATTTATTTATATTTATAAGGTTAAAACTACGCGAATTTTCGCATAAAATTTCAATGTGTGGTCCCAGTTGCGTAGTAAAGAATTTGTCTTTTCGGTTAAGTTAGTCGCCCGAGGTAATGGAATTTTTTATTTTTTAGCAAAGCATATACGCTGGTATCTGTTTGTTGGGTTGTATTTTTATGAAAAAAAAGCGTTTTATTCTAAGCCGTCGTTTTAACGAAATCTCTGTCATAAACCAACCACAAACGCCTAACTTAATTATAGAGTAGAATAGATTTTTTTCCTATCGCCACTGAGATGCGGAAAAAACTATTTTCTGGTCTTTGTTTTGAATTTCTCTCGTGATATAAAGTCACGAATGACTTGATGTAGAAGAATAGGACATCCCCAGTTGTTAGATAACAAGTGGCCTTAACAGCCAGGAAAATAAGGAAGAGTAGATTCCTGCAACGTCCTCTGGCTAAAGTACGGGCATTTCCGGTTTCTGTTTTATTCGCCCTTGTTTTCCTAAGTAAGGTTTTTTTGGTGTTTTAGTCGTTTTATCGAGGCATTGCATAAATCTGTCGGAAAAAAGGTTATTTAGGTACCGGAGCTTTGTTCCTCCGGGATAAAAATGTAAAATAAAAACGGATATTTGGAGTGTTCTTTCCGCTTTTTTGCTGTTGCCAAGGAATTACGATTTATTAATCCTTCTAGAGAATTTCCCAACCGAACATGAAAGGAAACCGCCCTATTCTAACTACTTAAACACAAATATTTTAAATCCAAAACAAGAAACTAGTCGGTTGAATTCGTTAATAATTCCTGCAGTTTCATAAAATTAGAGTAGATAATTTATAAGCATTAAAAACATAATTCCTGTGAAAAGCACTCAAAGCGCAAATCCCGACGTTAAATCATTGCGGAAATAATAAAAATAGCAAAAAATGCGCAAAAAGAACCGACCGAGTTTGTCGAAAGAAATTAATAATCCAATTACCTACAGCAAGGAACTGCAGAAATTAGTTCTTAATAAAGATATGTGCCCTAAAACTTATTTTTCCCTCAAAACTCACACTGATGTAATTAAGACAAAAGCTCTCATAACTTCAAGGGAGTTTTCAAGTTTTAATAACCATTTTGTAATTACGTCCGAACACTAATTCACTGAAAAGTGTTGTTTAATTTATTCGCGTCTCTAAAAGTAAAATCGCGAAGAATTTAGAGGTTTTCCCGCTTTAAGAGCTCGACGCTTTTCGTTTCACCTGAAAATCCAGAACGACAAATTAGAATACCCGCGTAAATCGCAATTAATCGTTTAATGAAAATGTTTTCTGATTGCTCGAGTAGCCAGAGAGAAGAATTTTTAATTATTATATTTAATTTGCTAAAGAGCAAATAGGTAAACGTTTTAAGCAGACATTAGCGAGAAATGTAAAATTATAATTAAAAACTTTTCCGGCTCATAAAAACGTCCAGTTCTGATGCATTTTCCCAGCCATCTGTTCGCCATATATTTTCCGTTTTCGTAGGCTTGTTGTCACATTTATTCCTTTCATTTATGACCCACTCGTTTGTGACCGTGTGTAGTAATTATATTTGCAGCACGCGAAATAGAACGTTTGAATAATTTAGACTATAATAGGAATTACATTTCGGGGAATGTGCCTGCATGAATGAGTACGTCTTAACCGTGGCGTCTCATACACCTGCAGAAGGACAACATTTTATTTTTAAATTTCAACGGTTATAAAAGAAGATTAGTGTACTAATATTAAATAATCTAATTCGTTTTCAAATTGCTCAATCCAAATCACCTCAATAATCTCTAATAAAAATATATTTTCTTGTTACTCGAATTTATTGTGGAGTATTTTGTCCGCCTAAATAATGTTTTGCACCACTTTTAGTACATGTCTGGAAGCGATGACGTTTGAATTAGACCCTTCAAGGTCTTCAATGCGAAAGATGAAAATTGAAACTTGTGCATTACAACAGCACAGTTGGCTTGTAATTTAGATTCACCCGGCAAGCGCATGCATTACAATCGATTAATAAAACAGCAAACTACAAACTTTTAATCGTCTTCTTCAATCTCCACAACATCAAAGATAGGTTAACAAGCCCGAAGAAAAAGGGAGGCTAATTTAATTCACGGATACTAATCCCACCTTTGTATCGCTCCAAATCGGAATGTCTTCTATTAGCTACCCCCGAGGCTTCGATTGCCGCAGTTGCACATGTGCGCTCCCCGGTGCATCTCGAAAACGTGCAATCCTCATTTAATTCCTGCCGGGGACTAATAGTTTTTCCGGCAAGAGAGCAGGAATTCGACTCGACGTGAATTAGAGAGCGAAGCGCAAGAATATCTAGTCAAATATTTACGCATCCGATGGCCGAACTCCGCCAACTCGCTAACCTAACGTCTTGCTTTCCTCTGATAAATAATACCTAATAGAGGTCTGTTTGTTTTTCAGTTCAGCCCTAAGTTAACAGCTGCTTCACCGTCTGAGCAGATGTTCTGTGTTTAACTTGCCTAGCGTGTTGTCTAAGCGATTAGTAATCGCTGATTACGAGCGAATTTTCATTTCCTGCAACTAAAAAAAACGTTGATTTGCTCATTAATTCAATTGCTAATCATCATAGCTGCGCAACATAGGTTATATAGGCCATGGGTGCGATAAAGACAACTTCCATTAGACACTTATAAAGGAAAAAGAAAGAGTGACATTTGTGTCATTGCAACTTTTCACTCTGACAACTGTCATTTTAATAATCTTTCTTTGTTCCACTCATAGAAATGACCATGTTGCAATCGGAAATGGAGCAAGGTGTATACCACAATATTGTCAAATATTTGACAGTACTTTATTTTATACTCAAATTTAGTTAAACATATAAATAATTAACTCAAAATGAAAGATACTTGCAGAAGAAAAATCGACTTGGATAGGACGGCGGAGCACACTAATAAGAAACACACGGAATCTTTTAACAAAAAATTGGACACGCTTGAACAAGATGCCACCATACCGGATCACCAGCGACAAGAGATTCTCAAGCAGCTATTCCCCAATATCATATACAAGGTCATCGACATCGTGCCGGTGGTGCAGGAAAAGGATTACTTCGGTCTGGGCAAGACTTCGGAAAAAATCGGCGAGGAGAAAGAGAAGACGTCGAGGGACAGCATTTCCACGCAGTACTACCAAGATCCTTCGCTTAGGGTAAGCACACAGTACACAGTACAATATTTCGAAGAGAAATTCCCGCTGTAACAGGTGCTTCAATCAGACGTGAGCAGCGAAAGTAAACCCAAAGAAGCGCAGGAGCCTTCCGAAGAATCCATCGAAGAAGAAATAGAACTGAAAGGCTAGTATTATGCTTTTACGAAGCGCCTGCTTCAGGGAGTTGTTACGCATTGCAGAAGGGTCGAGCTCGAGCGGCCTGAACTCGGATTTGGTGAAAATCCTCAACACCCAGATCAAGCCCCAGCCCACGCTGTACTCGAAGTTCTTCGCGAAGAGCAAGGACGCCGCCGCCATATGGCGCAAGCCCAAGGACGTCAAGGCGGCGGTGACGGCCGAGGAAATAGCCAACACGACCAGCATGAAGATAGCCAAGAATTTCGTGGAGTGGGCGAACGGGTGCGGCTTGAACGATTCGCTCACCGCCGAAGATCTCCTGAAGATGTTCAGCACCAATCAAGGCGAGAATAAATTCTACGTGAGGCAGGAGGAGACCTACTCGGTGCCCGGGCAAGTCGGGTGGTACTTGGGCTTGAAGCGCCGAACCAGACAGTGGGTGCTGGTGAATCAGATTAGAAAAGATAAGTAGGTTTAGTGAGGTTATTGTTGAATTTGTGCATACATTCTGTGGTTTTTTTTGTCAGGCAGGCGTATGAGTTTAAAGGCGAGAAAAATATAGCATTTGGAAAAACGCTACCTCATTTCCTCTACAAAGGAACCTCCAATAATGATAGCTACACTGAATGGTTGGCTACAAAAATTCCCAAGAATATCGAATCCTTCGAAGAAGTCTTTAAAGGTTTTTACAACAGCGTTTCGAACGAAAAATTTACATATTTTTTGATATTTTCAGAAATCAAAGACTTGGAGGTCACCAAGAAATACGCAGAGTTCATAGAGAACAGACCTTACATTAAACCGCCCTCGTACCTAGTAGATGCCGGCCTAATTAATTACCCCAGCTCCACTAAGTTTAAGACCCTGAAAGGATCCAGAAGACTAACGAGAACAGAAACCATTTACACGCTGGTGGAATCTCCGCAATTAGAGCTGCTCAGATATGACTACGACAACAAAGTGCCCGTAATGGACTTGGATTACTACTGAATATTAAAAGCAGTTAATAAAACGCTGTTATTAAATGAAACTACTTTAATTCTGGTATTGTCCATAAGACTGTCCGTCTTCGAAATCATCGGGAGCCTGTGGAAATTGTCTGACAATACTCGGGTCCAGCCACAGTGCCGATCCTTCCAAACATTCGAAGGACTTGGTGAACAATTCCGAATTGCTCATTATATTTCGGATCTTCAGTTGGTAGGGCAATCGCCGTTTTTCCAACAAATCCAGCATAAAAGTTGCTTCCGATTGATCGTCGCAATATTCTAGAAAAAAACACAATAGAAAGAAGATTTTTTTGAGTTTATTGTCACCTTGAGCTCCGGCTATGAAGAATGTTTGATTCAATGTGATGCTACCGTTGTTGATCCACGGCAAGTCTTTCTGTTTCTTGATTTTCCCGAATTTTTCCGTGATTAATTTAAACGCTGCGTTATCTACTATCATTTCGTTAGCGAATAGTTTGCCTGAAACCGGCTGAAAGAAACGAATATTCGTGACTATCGTATATTGTTAGTTAAACACGGTGTACCTTAAATTTTAGGTTGCTGTTGTGGAAACTTAGAGGTGTTTTCGTGTAGTAATTATTGAAAATCTCCATCATGTGTTTGATTAATTCGTCGTAATAGTTATCGCTGGATCTAATTCCATCGGTCATAAACAAACGGCCTACTGCATCGAAATGTTTAGCTATTCCTTGAGCTAGAGAGAAACCTAATTTTGCCAGACGGACGTGTTCGGGCAGACTAGTAGGCACACTTTTATATATTTCTGGATGCAAAACTGGAATTTCCACTGGAATTTGTAATAATTCTAATACAACTACATACATACCTATGGAATCACTGGTGTAAAACGTCACAGGTTTCGTGTAAAAACCATTAACGAAGAAATTCAATCTTAAACAATATTACTAGTAACACACAATACAAAAAATATAATCACTTACATAGAAGCCGGTGAAGATTTGGATCCAACAATATTATACAGGAACTTCTTGGAGTTGATCAACAGCGTCATGGTGTTCTCTTGGAAATCGTTCCTAACCTTAACGTGCCTGTAATTATCCCTGGTGGTGTTGGTATCCCCTTCCGTGATGAGTCCCAAATTCAACCTATCCAGTTTCTTGATGAATTTGTCCTTAGTCATATCGTCTAGGGAGGAATCCTGGAAGGACGCTTTCAGGATTTTCTTGAGGTCCGTGAAGATGTTTTTCGATTGATAGATGGCGAGGTATATTTTACTGGCTGGGGATAAGTCGTAGAGTATCCAGGAAACGATGTCCGGCATGAGTTGCTGCGTCAGGTCCATGCAGTACAGTCTCTTGCTGGCGCCTCTGGGCGTAAGGAAATTGCGGTAGAGATGCAGGCTGGTTAAATCCTGGAGCATTTTCGTCAACTTCCTGAAAGATCGCGTGAAATATCTGCGAATTAAATAAAACTGCCGTTACCCTGTATCGATCTTTCTGAATTGGTCGAAGAGAGTTTGGTAGTAGCCCGAGAAGGCTACTAAAACCTTTTCGTTGCCTGTAAAGGTTCTGTTAGTGGTGATTTTTCCGAAAAATTTCTTCCAATCGATGAGTCCGTATTTACTATTGATTTCATCTATCGTCATTTCGGTTAATTTTTTGGAATTGATCGTGTCTCTAATGTAATCGCTGGGTAATACGTTTTTCTAAAAGATGGAATTAATATTTTGAATATGCAGTTAAATAATTATTTAAACGTACCTGATATAATTCTAATGCTTCTTTAAGAAAAGCCTGGAATAAATTTAGTTTAAAATGGTGAAATTTGTATTTCATTTTTTATCCTTACCTCATTAGTAGTAGACTTATTGGTAAGTTTCATAACTGCTTCGAAATCTTCAGCGTATTTGAACAAAGTGTCGCGTTTGCATTTCAAATATTTGTCATAAAGTTCATCCAGATCGACTGTCTTTGATCCTATAGAGTGTTGCGCGAAATCTGTGCAATGGTTCTCACTTTGGTCTAAAATCGACCAGCCTCTTAAGTAAGTTTTGAGATAGCTTTCGCCTGGTAACGAGAGCTAAAAAAAATTCATACAGTTGAGATGAAACTAAGTTTATTTTAACATACCAAAAATTGGTAGTTTTCATCCGAGGATCCGATATCCAGACTGACGTCGAAGAAAGGCATGGACTCGGTCAAAATGGATTCCACGAATACATCGGTGAGATCCTTCGCTGTTGAAGATTTCACTAGAATATTCCACGTTGCAATTATCCAGTTAGAGCTAAATTGAGGATTCATACCTTTGTCCAAATTACTCAAAAAATTAAAATCGACGTTGTAGTGCAAGCAGCTTTCGTAAAATTTCTTGAAGTCCTGCAGGAATTTTTCCGATTTGTACGTTACATTGGCGAATATGTAATTTTCGAGAATTTGGAAATTTTCGTACGTGAAACCGTTTATTTGTACTTTGTTGCCGCACACTAATTCCTGGAATTCCTCGCAAGCGTCTGCATGATGGTTCATTGAGACGAGCATTTGTGATGTTGCCGATTTACAGGCGGATTTCGAGCATACAGTCGAGAGGTCCTTTTTGCCGGATTTGATTGCTCTTCGAACTCTCCCAGCTGAAATAAAAGACGACACCAAGTTGAGGTATTATATTTTACATCCTCTTTGACTTACCTCCTGCATTGTCCTCGAACAGACCATTGTCGTTTTCATCCTAAAAACCAATATTACATTACTTGCATAAGCACATATTTGTTACTTACAAAATCCTGAAATGCGACACAATGGCAGCAAAAGTAGAGCAGCAGGATGATTTTTAATTCGAACATTGCAATCATATATCAAGAAATGAATGGAAATGCATTAATCTAATGCGTTTTAACCGCAAATTTTTTCCGAACCGAGACCACAGAAGAAATATCTACCTACTTAATAAATTATCACTAACTAAAATAATACTTATCTCGCGAGGTTTCCTCTTCCGAAGTTGTTGTTTAATTGAAAAAAAATAATTGTACGTATTAAATTGATAAATCACAGGATGCTGTTGATTTCTATAGCGTACAAATACCTGAAGTGTTGTAATATTAAGGAAGTGGGTCGTTTTATACGTAGAAATAAATATACATTTGATAAATTTTGTATTGAGATTTAGAAAATATTTGATTCGAGAGAAATTCGAGTCTTCCGGTGCAGAATTTTTGCTCGTAAATTTTTGCCTAATATACATGGTACGGGATGCGTTTTAAAACGCCCGAATTCCAGTCGTAAATTCCCAGTTGATGGCACTAAAGTTGACTTTAATTGGTGAACAGTCGGAATTTTAGCGTCGTTAGTCCCAAATATCATCCTTTTCCTGAGTATTTTAAGGGAAGAGTTTTCGAAATTTTTTGATTGTAGATACGTAGAACAGTCTTTATCGGCGCCTCGATTAGTCAAAAGTTTTTCTATTTGTGTTAGCATTCTTCGTTAAACTGCTAAATCGAAATATGCCGAAAAACGGCGATAAATTTAACGCAAACCACCGGCCCATTTGTCTCAGGAATCGCATCGAAATTCATATTTCTATAATTGCGAGAGGGAAACGGCAATCACAAAGCAATACCGTTTTATCTCCGGCACGTAAAATAAACTTTATTGTACATTACAGAATGCGAAATAGGTGGCCGGTAATAATTTATATTCATAAAGGAGTTTCAAAATTGCATTCATTACTCAACAGTGTCGCTCCTCTGACCGCTAATCCCGATCAGATTTGCTGAATCAAGACAGAGTGGAAATTTCCGCTCTGTTATCATTATCAAAATTAGAAATTGAGTTCTAGTTTAAATAATTTAATTCAGCGCTTATTAATCTCATACAGTGCGCGAAACAAATATTATAAATCATACAATGACGATTTTTTTTTCTTGATGGAAATATCGAATAGAGGAATAGAGAAAATCAGGAAACAAACAAATCGACAACTCGGATATTAATCCTCCGATGTAAAAAGGCGATATTGTTCCGAAGTTCCTGCAACGCCGTATTTTTCCTTAGTATCTCATAGTTTCTTAATTTTCCGTATTCTTTTATCGAAAGGTCCAATCTAAAATATCCGCCGTTTCGCCTAAATATAAAGCACACAAAAGTTTTATTAAATGTTTGTGTTTACTTCATCAAACAATCAGACCATTCCAGATTATATTCTTCGGGGGTCTCCTGCTCTTCGGGCACACAATTCGGATGTCTTAGCACAGCCGTAGTCAACCATAATTCTACTAAAGGAATTTGTTAATATTTACAATAGGATTATTTAATGTTAATATAAGGACTCGGGTGGCAAATTTATCCCTCTTGATTAATAGGTATTGTTAAATTCTCGTTAAAGGGGGCTTCGTATATCGTGATTTTATTTCGATAATAATTTTTAGGCTTCTCCGAAGCGCCTCTGCCTTTGGCCTTTTCTTCTTCTCTCTACCAACATCTAAATTTAATTTCGTGCGAGTCGAGTGTACATTTTGTATTATTTCATTATGTTTTCTTTGTTACCGGAATGCTAATCGATATTCTCCCGTATTTTTTCCGGCGCTTCCACCTCGAGGAGGCCGAATTTATGAATTTTTGCAAAAGGAAGCCGAAAGGAGTTTCCCCGCGAAACTTTCTCTCTTCTCGACCAATAAATAATGCGAAACAATTAATTTTGATCTACAACTTGGCCCCGCGCTCAAACGCAGCCCCGGCCGCAAACGGAACAAGAAATTTTCGGAGTATTATAAGAACGTGAATGGAAAATATCGCGCTTGTCTCGGCCAGAGAAAACCGACTAAAATTAATACCGCTCCTTACGGATTCTCCGAATTAGAAATCATGTTCCGACGGAAATCTATATCGCCGAAGATCCTCCCATATCGAATTTTCCATTCACCGGATAAATCCAGGTCAAGAACAATCGCTTTCGTTCGCCCGACGATAGCGAGTCCGCATTTACACCAGTTTTCTCCATCAATAGGGGCTCCGTCATATTTTCGCCGAACTTCACGTTTCACTGTTTATTAGCGGCATCGCTAAATCCGATTCATAATTACTCCGGAACTAAATTAATTAGGAGCATCCTAACTGGATTCCCGCCGACCTACTTGCCCCTTATCAAACCGTTTTTAGCGCATCATCCTGTACGCAAACGGGGTACATTGGTTTCCTAATTGCGGGTGTCTGTACCACTTCGTGCGTATTAATGCAAATATATGAAATTGCCAACAATTAATGAGATTATCCTTCAATTTATCAAGGATAATTTCGCAAAATGCTCGCGCTAAAAGGAGCCTGCCGGCAGCTTGCACGAGGATTCGATGGATTGTATTAATAGTAGATGTGCTTCGGGGTGTGCCCTTTCACGAACATCTTCAAAATTAGGTATAAAAATATTTTCCTATTTATTATTTCTGAACTGTCTACAATCGTAAATAGTATGAAGTGTCTATGAAATATTTAATTTATGAATATCGATGGAGGATGGGCTTCTTGCATGACAAGCAGATAATATTATCCGGTTGTCACCTTGTATGTTATCTGGAGCTACGCCTAATTAAACCCAGTGTATTTGTTGACTGGTATGTGACAAACCCTTTGATAATAGCCCGATTTAGGTTCTATTACGTAATATCCTCAGATGGAATTCCATACGTCAGAGTTAATAAACACAATCAGACTGCGCCATGCGCCTTTATGCCGCCCTCGCGTATAAATTAATTGTATATACTAAAGCCGAATCATAATTAAATTCGTATTTGTATTAACTCAAGGAGTATCGATAGACAATGGTTCGTTACGTAGTTGTAGGAAAATAAGGGAGTTCGCTTTTGATTATTCGGATGGGAGCTAATGCTAATCGACCCGGAAAATCGTCGCAATAGTTTACTAAAGTAAGTGGAAAATCGACCGGTAAAAATGTACAACTTTATTTAAAAATGTCAAAGGGCTGAACAATATTCAGCCCTTTGTTCATTAAGTTAATAAAATATTCCTGAACATACTATATTACGTAATAAAACAAATAGTTTGGCTCAAACTCGTTTGTGTTATTTAGATTCAAGTACATAAATATAAATACCTATCTAAATAGTAACACAAGAATGATATTGTTATGGGTGAACTTACTTAGAATTGCCTGTTATATTTTAATGCTCATTAGTTCCTAGTTCAGTGTTTAGTTTCTCTATATAAACCAAATTCGTCGTGAAACTTCAGCATAATAAGATTAGGGTACGTTTTCAGACATCAAACACCCCCTAAGTTTCGGTTGATAAGAATAATTAGGTTAGATTATTTGCTGTCCTAGTACAGTAACTTTATTTACTACCTCATCAGATTGAAAATTTCTCTAGGTAATTAGTTTCTTTTCGCCGGTATTTCAAGTTGTCCGTTGCGTTTCATGAATTACGCGAATCTTAAAACTTAATTGGTCTTTTTCATTCGAGTTTTCCATTTTTTATGTACCAATTTTCTCTACCTGCAAGGCTTTCTCGAAATTCTCCAGTTCTTGTTGAGAGAACATTTGACTTGAAACATTCATTAATTCTTCTACTATAAGCGAAGTTTAAAAATTTGATGCTCGGTGAACTTACTCAACCGCTGACCTTAGAGCATGGCTAACAATTGATATTGGTTGCAAATGGTATAGAATTTTTCACTTTGTGTATCTTTTATGATTTATTCTGGAAACCTCTACACTTGAACTCTGTATGATCTGAAATGTAAATAATATAGTTAGAATGCAGTCGAATTTTCTTCTCTATATTCTATTCGAGCAAAAAATGATTGAATATATTCCTCTATTGTGAAACGAGTTGTTAAATGCAGTGTCGTAGGTCTTCAATCATTAATTTAAAGAAAAATTCAATATATTAGTTAATTGTACATAAATTAAGATTTATTTATTTCAACATAATTCCTTTTGGTCAAAGTTGTAGAGAAGTTTATTAGAAAACTAAATGTAAAATCCAATTTTGTTCTGATCAACACGAAGTAATCGAGTTATTATTAGTTAATCAATATCTAATAGGCTTCACCCTAGCACCGTTACTGTTCGATTTTCTTCGCAATTCGTTCAGGAAAATCCGTAGACTACAAAGTATATTCCATAACTCATCGATTTTCTATCCAGATGTAAAATAGCACTCCTGAGGATAACCTCGATATTGAAGATTATCCTGTTAGAATTTCCTTACCGTTTTCATGATTTTATAGCGGTTCCTAAAAATATACCGCAATCGGAGGTGAACTGAAGGAAATTCCCTCTGCTCTATAACCAGTACAAGTACTTTGAGCATTACATGGAGAGGCCAAGACGAACACTTAACGAAATTGAAATGGCGAGCAAATATACTTAGTTATGTACTTTTGGCGGGAGCGTTATTGTCGACTATGGGGAAATAAGAATGTGGTGTGTGTACTTAGGACTTTACACCATTTTCTGGTTCAGGGTTGAATTAGATGTTAGTTTAGGACTGCATTATCCAGAAAAGTGTCTAGACGATCGGAAGAAATAAGCGAAGACTACATAAACTAAACATACAAAGTGTATACGTCTTAAATAAAAAACAACACCAAAAAATACACAGTTACTGTAATTTTTAATGCGCCGTGAATAGTACAATAAATTGTATTATAACGATTTTTTGTTCAATTTTTTATATCTAAAATAATTTTCCGATATTACGAGGATTTTCTATTAGTTAAACAATACCTAACAAATACAATAGACAGTTAATTAATTTCGTATCACCAACATTTTAAATATTTATTTTAATTAAAATTTCTATTTTTTTAATCAAATTGGGCGTTCGGATAATATTTACTTTCGTTGTAAATTTTCACACTCAATTTCGCGTTTGTTAAATACGAGCTGTTCGATAAGTATATGGGAAAAATTCGTCTCGTGTAGTATGCAAGTAATTCGATAGGTCATACATCAGGTACAAATAGATACC